ATGAACAATTATGCTGTATACAAAATATATACGTAACTTGAAATACCTAAAGTAATAAAATATTTATAAGCCCTTTTTTGAATGATTGAAATGTCAAGACTGCCTCTTGACTGAGACATCCATGAACATAAAATTCTAGCCCAATTTATAATTTTAAAGTCATTTAAATCTAGTCTAATTGACTAAAAAGTATATTTACCTTAAGAAAATGTCTAATAACACTACTTTCAGTATATTTTAAGAGAAATACACTATGTGACCTTTTGTCACGACACATTACTATTTAGCACTTAACACTGACGTGCACCAACACTAATAGTGAATTCGAAAGATTATTTTATTGTCAACTAGGTCCATACAAGTCCGTTAATAAGCAGCTATTCTAATTATCCAGTGGAGTTAAACGCTAAATTCCTGATAAAACATAATAATACAAGCTCTATCGAGTATTATGAGTTTAAATCGGCTGTGATAGACGGGATCATCATTAGAGTCAGGGGATTTGCATGTTACAGATAATTAGATCATTATAATTATGAGATTAGCCGATGTTATATTAATTTATCGTTGAAATATCTATAATATAGGAATAACCATGTTTTACCGATACAACATATTGCGATTATACAATATACAGTTGTACACATTATCATGAATTCTCTTTATTTCGTAATCATATAGCTAACATATATTAATATAAAATAGTATATTTCATTACAAGTGCGGAAAGCCTGTCATTGCGAAGAGTTTCAACAAATGTCTACCCGAGCCGAGGCGCAGCCGAAGGTGAGGGTTGACAGTCGGAACAAGTTGCAATGACGGTTCCGCACGTGTACTGAACAACTATTTTTAATACAGTTGCGAAAAAATTATGCAATTTAATAAAATAATAAAAACACAATAAACTCAACTAACTAATCATTTATTTCTTATACAAATTATTGTTCATATATACATTGGTACAGTTTTTTATACTAACTGGAGAAGTTTTAGGTTGCATATTTATTTACTGTTTGAGACAAACTATTATTAATTTCGTATGATTGTTCATGTATATTTAATATATAATATAACAAACAAGTAAACGCGCAAAGAACGTTTATGGAAAATGGCGCCAACCGTAAAAGAATATAAGCAGATTTTTTTTTTCTTCACCCATTCTGGGTAGGCAAAGGGAACTATGCCCATACAGTCAAGTCTTCAGTACAATTTTTTATTGATATGAAATGAAATTTAATGAGATGAAATGAAACCTAACCTAACTCATTGAATCAAATCATTAAATCTGATATTGAAACAAAGCAGTAGCTTCTTTTTAGAAATATTTGCATGAATCATAAAAATTGCTATGAATTTTTTTTAGTAAAAACTTCGTGGTTGGTTTTTTCTTTTTAATAGACATTATTTTGACAGTTGGGAAAGAAAACGCACTAGTTCGGAAAAGGTAAAAAAAAGCACGAGTGTGTAATAGCCCACATCCCGAACGCTATACGTCCCTGCAATACGCCACTTTTTGAGCAACTGTATTAAAAAAACAATAACTGAAATATATTATTAAAATTTAGGCAAGGTACTGTCAGCGTAAAGTAAACAATCATTTAATCATATACGTATAGGTAACACAATGTACACACACTTATGACTTCCCTCTTTGAATAGCTAGACTAAATCTTTGTCCGAGGTAGCTGCCAGCTCTTCGGTCTCCTGTGATGTTGACTAACCTGTTTGCTATTTCCTTACAGCGCTAGGACTCCACGGACCAAGAGTCTCGACATCGAATGGGAGATTATATTCGGAGCCTAGACTCCTGCTGATTGCTTCACAAGCCGCACCAGCTCTGCTGTTGGTTCCATGTAGATGTGAAGGGGCTAGCATGCCTGAACAGGTTGCATCCCATACCAGCACCCAGCCCATCTTCCATGGCTTCAAACTCATACCGTCGTCTCTTGCAATACCAGTCGGCTCAAGTAGACTTGGCACGTTGACGTTGGCATTATCATTAAATTTCGATAAATAATGTCAATGAAACAGATACCTAATCTTTTTGTTTGGCCCAATGTGGTGTACTAGCTCTTCAGCTAGTAGAGGAGTAGAGGAGGGTATCTATTGAACGTGTATTTTTGAAGTGAAACTTCTTTATCGGGGTTGGAAAAAAATTTAGTGTAACATTTTTGCGTTACGCGTCACATTTTTCCGTTACGCGCCATGTTGCATTTTGAAGTCAAACTTCTTTATCGGCGTTAAAATATGACATCTAGTATGTTTTTGACTTTGAAGTTTGACAACGGATTACATTTTCGACTTGAAATTTGCTAATCGCAATTTGCAGCAATTAATTTGTAAATTGTATGCTAGGCAGTGTATCAAAATTTACTGTGTTTAAAGAAATAGTTTCTAATAAGGTCATAAAGAAGTTTCACTTCTTACGTGTGTACACCTAGTATACGCACACATTTTTTTTTTATTCATTCATTTAGTTATCTAAGTAACCCCAATTAATACAAATAAAAAATATTGTTAATACTTTTTAGTAGATTTTTGAATTAGTTATATTTTAACTTATTTGCTGTACTTCCTATTACAGTTATCTCTATATTAATAAACTTAAAGTACGGGTACGATATGAAAGCAACCACAAGGACGATAGTGTTTTAAACTATTCCAAGTTTTATTAGGTATAGATTATCTGACCGGAGAAGCAATTAATGAAGCGAATCACACTCTCCCCTGGTTGCCCTTGGTGCGATGTGTAAATACCACCTTGAGAAACAAAAAAAGGTGCAAAGGCTGTATAGAACTCTTACCCCGTAAAAACTGTACTAACTGCTATAAATATTATTATTTCTGTTATTAGTACTCACGAACGACTCACGACGTTATGGTTCTCTGTAGTAGGTAATTGGTATGAAACCTGAATCGATTTCCGAAGACTAGTAAGTAGCCTTATAAGTCACGCCCTCAATGTTAGGGATTTAATATTCGTAAAAGAGAAAAAATAAAAATTCATATTTTTGTCACGAACTTTATTATATCTTAATAATTTATTTGATACTTCTCATAAGATTTCATAACTGTTATTTATTATGATAGAAAGTAAGAAGAATGTTTAAGGCTTTTTCACATAAAGCGTTCACGAACAAGATCGTAAATTAGTATTAAACATGAATATATTGTTGTTAGTTACAGCGTGTTAGCTATTGCTACAAATAGGACTCTCGCGTAAACAAAATAGAAATATAAAACCTTTTAAAATCGATCATGGACTTTGATTGTTTAGACAGCTGGCATTTGGTTTGTAAGACACCAGAAGTACTTCTGAAATATTCGTCATAGCATAGCTTCATCGCTCATTTAACACAGTGTAAACAGAAACGCTTTATGTGTAAAAACCTTAAAACCAGACGCGAAAGTACACAAAATCCACATTTATATATTACACAACACAAATAAATGAAGACACGAATGGTTACATCCAGTAAATATTTGGTTGAATGAAATCTCAATTTGGCAAGTAAATAAATAAAGAAAATTTCACATACTATACATTAATTTTACATTATTACAGTCTTTAATATACTAGTTTATTTACACTGACGCCATTTTAAATGACATTATTATAGCGTGTGTACACAAAAGCCAGTCATAGGAGACACAATTGTATTAGCCGTATTCAGAATATATATTTTTGCCATAAAAATGCAAAGTAGTAAATAAAACATTAGGTTGAATGCTAAATGAATTATTAATATTAAACTCACGAAATTTTGAAGGATTACGTATGTAATATACGTTCATTCAATTGTAATAAAAAAAATTGTGGTGCTGAAATCCCTGGCAAGTAAGTCTGAAACACGCCGCCGTCTTTTGTTTCTTCAGCGTATGTGTGACTACGTTGCGCATGAATAAATAAAAATCTATTAATGCATAGTCGTCATTCGAACGCACGATTCACGGTTGATTGGCTACGCTTTTAGCTCATATTGAATCACACTGCTCATGAATGTTTGTTATATAACGAGAGCAAACGGGCAGGGCTCACCTGAATTGTAATGGCAAAACTATAATTATTACTTGTAATTGCAGTACGGTCGTAATACTGAGCATTTATGCAATCAGTGTGTGTATCAAACTAACCATGGGTTGCATTTTAACTCGTTTGATACAACAAAATGAGAAGATATCTTGATTTAAATACACGCTATTTAAAGTAATAAGTGAAAGTGCTATTACTCAGGCTTGTAGGCGCTATTAATACGTATTGTATTTGTACATACAAATTTCATCAGAAGGTATGAACGTAAGCTAAGGAGACTATTTCATCCTTATACCATTCTTTCTCAAGCCCATGTTTGATGTAGTATCTTAGATATTCTGTTATATGAATGGCTTTTGTGAATCCATTAAGTTATAATTCTGTAATATGAGGTTTGAATTACGGAAATCAATTTATTGATCCATTCATAATGGAATGTATTTACATAAAATTAAACGACGTCGCTTAATCTATGAACATTAAAATTTATGTTTTTAGAGACGATTTTCAATAATTAAGTGTAATTTTATCGCCAATGTACATATGCGATATTGTTGTTGTGTCGAAGGTATTTCAGAAATTTTATGTTTTCAGGAATAAACTTATGATTTTGAATCAGCGAAATAATAAAATTATGATTAATAATTTAATATAATAAATAAATTACAATTATAATTAAATAATAATAATTAATAATTACGTATAATTTAATTTAATTATTATTATTATTATCCAAATAATATTTATTTTTTAAATAAATGTAAACGAGATTTTGATAGTTTTCTAGCAATCTCAAAAATAGTGAGTCAAAAATTTTTGAATGCCGTGTTATAAACATTCAACTATTGAAAATCGAGGCATCAATATTATTTACATAGACGCATAACGATATTTACAACTATGTATAGCAGTGATCCTAAGTATACTAAATTCACTTTTACACATAATTGTAAATATCTTCCATTTCTCATACATTCATTTCAGACATTGCCGCCTGGGGGACTCTAGACTTTTGAGAAAAATGCTGAGGCGATGTTGGCTGTATCGAACCATTTCCTGGCGTCTGAGATTGTCCAGTCTGAGCCTGAACATCCGGCAAATTGCCACTACTCATAAACGTAGCATTCTTCGGTAATGTCATACAATTCGACGCGTTACAAATCTGATTTTGATAACTGAACCCAACCTTTCTTGGCAAGGTAGTACATTGGCCTCGATTGGGGCTCGTCTTCAAACTCGCCATTTGAATCCCCGTGTGACAGACGTTGGGGCAATTTGTATTCGTAAAGTGGGGTACACGATTTGTCATGGCAATGATCGCGTTTTTATCTTGATGGTCGATATCGACAATCGTGCTCGAACTCTGAGAATGACCGACAAAGTAATGTGGATGTTTCGAAGTATCATAAGTGGAGTTGTGATTCCGTTTCTGTTGTTGGAGAGCTTTAACTTGCAATCTTGTTTTATCTCTTTGATAATAGACGCCGGCGAAAATTAGGACGTTGAGGATTAATAGAGAGCAGCCAATTGCGATTGTTACACTCAAAGCGGTCGAGTAAGCTGTGTAGCTGGCCACTTCTAGATTAGAAACGTCTTGAGTTTGTGAATTGTTGGGTTGACTTTGAGTGACGGGGGCGCCGGGGCGAGCGGACATGACGCTGATGCAAGTTGTGACGTGAGTGTCCATGGTGGTTGTGGGTATATCGAGCGTTACGTTATAGGATTTGCGATAGAGCTCTAATGTGGGGTCGTAGTAATTCGCACGCGTAAGGGGATCGGCCCGAACTAAACCATCGTACATTTCAGGGTCGTTGTGGTTGCGGAATAGGTTGTGTTTTGCGATGACGTCCTTCATGCCAGCCCGGTGGATCTCCGGTATCAACCGCAACCAGACGGACAGCTGGTGCGCTCGGTAGTGATTTTTCATACGTGGCTTCATGCCTGTAATAGAAGTCTGGTTAAGGAAACATGTAAGAAAATGACTCATTTACATATTTTTTTTTGCGTCGGGAGTAGTTTTGTTAATCTAAAATAATATTTTAGTTTAGAATCTGACTTTTAATTTAAATGAAGGAATACAATATTTAAGTACCTATTTCTAAATATTTTTGATGCAAAGTATCGTATTCGTCCCATACGATGCTCTTGTATTTATTCCTCTCCCTTGAAATCGGAAGTACCGACTCTTGTCGCTGGACCTCATTAGGATTCCTAGAAAAGAGAAAATAAAAGCCTTAAGTTGGTTGTAAGCCGAGAGCAGTCTTTTAAATTGGATTTCCAATTGCAGCTTACAGTCGTACACTTATTTGTAAATTTAAAATGGTTCGAATTTTGAGCTTAAAATAGTCATTAATAGCTACAGATTGCAGCTTTACGGACTATCTCGGTTTCAAGTTAGATATTAGCTTTAGTATCGTGCTAAGTTTATTTAAATAGGTGAATAACTGAAGACTGAAGTGTTGAGTTTATTCATAATTAGCTTCGTTTGCGGAACGGAAAGACAACTAAGTACCAAAGTTAGAAATAAATAATTTTAATTTAATAAAATTTCCAAAATATTTTTACTCGGCCGATCGTCACATTTTTTGGTTAGTCACTGCTGAGTTTTACTCGGATTATGTTAGACGTATTATTATATATTATTAGATATATATATTATTTTGATTTATACTTTTTAGTTAATTATATTTGTTAATTACGTCCTCAATTCATATTTTTAAAGTGAGTGTATTGTGTGTTTTTGTGAACTATTGTGAGGCAAGGTCTGGCATCAGTCTAACCTCTCTTTATTCCAAAACTATTACAATTTCTCCAAATCCTAACGACTGACAATTGTGTGCCTTTTTTCTTGGTAAGGTCACATCATTACGAGGTATATACTTATTATTTTAGTATAAATTGTGTATCGACGGCCACCGAACCGTTATTTGTGGCACAACCTTAATTATTAAATATTATTATATTTTATAATTGTCTTGGTTAAAAGGAGTATACTAAAATTTCCTTATATTAAAGAAAATAAGAGTGGATTGCTAAACGAATGAATGCTAGTTAGTAGACATCAATCTCAAAGTACGGCATTACCAAAACCTTGCGTTATTCCGTAGAAATATATCTCTGTCAAAACGTCGTACAGGGCAATTTAGTCTCACAAGAATATATGAAGCGTTTTATGCAACAGTTGTGTAAAAGTGGTCAGTGCGGAATGCTGCGGCCAAGATTGGGGTTGGGATGCGGTTATTTCCGTTTGGAATAAGTTTAACTGATTTTATACAAGTTACATTTAAAGTACCTTACTGAAATACTTCCTTTCTATGTAGGGAAAAAATACGTAGATAAAAAACTCTATATATATTTGTGTTAAGGAAATGCTTAATAAAACTAAATGTATTTGTCCCAATTGACATTATTTGTCATGTGATTCGATCAGTATTGAACAATTTCAAGTATTTAATCAAAAGCGGAGCACAGTTATTGCTTTAATATTATACAAGTTTTATAAAGAATTTGGTTGTATTCTTAAAAATTTTCACCTATGTCCCAATTGAATTTCGACATATTCTTCTATTTTACTGGGCAACATAGGAATCTTCAGTTCTCGAGCTGCCTTTAAAATACATTCTAAATTGCAAATGTCTGTGTACGAGACAAGTACTCTCAAGGGTGTAATGTAAATTCCTTGGTCCATTTTGTTGGTATATATATACATATATATCTATATATACTACTGCGATCTTTATACAATTACATATAAACGTTTAATGGATACGTAGATCATAGATGTTGTGTCTTAACATGTTGATGCTTGTATCGATTAGTATCTAATTAACTTTTAATAATTTTATTATTAGCAGACTTCAAAAGACCGGATGTTTCCAATTCGATACACATTTTTGAAGTTATACTTCTTTAGGCGCGTTATGAAAAATTTATGAGAGTGAAATTTTACGATGCGCGCGCGCTGTGACACAAAATTAACAGAATGAAGTTAGTGGCGCATCTTGGCACGCACGCCGCCTCCGTTCACTGTGTATCTATATTTATCCACATGCTTTGAGTTTCTACATTTAAAACACGTGTTTTTATTTTGTTTTCATTATACAAGTGCGAATTTTATATGTGCGTCAGAATTATAATCAGAAGTGATTTAAATTAAATATTTAAATCAATACTAATTAATATTAGAAAATAATAATAAATATAAATATAATATTAATAAACTTTATTGACTATAATGACTCCTTTTCCAGTCTTTGATTATTTAATTGTAATTAATTATTTGCATGCAATCGAAAACTATTTTTAATAATGCCAAAGAAGTATAACTTCTTACGCGCGTACATAAGTACACGCACCCTTTTTTTTGTATATACGTTGAGATACACAATTTAATTAATAATAATTAGGCAACGATAAATTGAGGTTGGAAGCCTTAAGGTTCATAAGTTCAAACCTACCGTGAGCTTAAATTAAATATCAATAAGTATGAAAAGATATCATAACTCACGATCATAATAAAGCGTCTCTCCGCCGAACAAAATGGTCCTAAGTATTTTCATTTATGAAGCCTTATATTGAATTTACTTTATTAATCATTTGATTCTAACATTTTATCAATACCTATAGCCCTCAATAATTTGTGTAGACGTAACTAATATTTTATACAATGTTTTTATAATTCTACATATTTACTTATTAATTTTATATATTTTTTTAACTGCTTAAATAAAAATCATATATCTGTTAACTTTAAATTTTTAGACCATGGTTGCGACATAATAGTAAATAATACGCGTTCTTATTAGATAGTTTTAAATTTTTGAAGTTGTACTTCTTTAGGCGCGTTATGAAAAATTGATGAGAGTGAAATTTTACGATTGCGCGCGCACCTATGACACAAAATTGGCAGTGTGATATAGCGTGCGCGAGCGAGATGGGAATAAGACAAACTACAAGTAAAAAGAAATAGAATATGCGTGAAGCTAACTTCACGCATATTCTAGCTTAGCAGCTTAACAAGAATTTTGAATGACCATGACAATTGACATCTGACAATGACATTTACCTTTTAAACAAATATAGGAGTTTTAATTATTGTTTAAAATTAATAATTATATACCTAGTTATTTTCATTATACAAAATATTTGTGAAATAATATAAAATATTTGTGAAAAAACTGTGCTAACCTTCCTGAGTGCTTCAATACAATTGAGGTTAACTATCCGTATGTATTATCGAGTATTATTGTTGATTAAAACTGAAACATGAACCATTATTCATTGCTTTTGTTTATTGCGTTTGTTACAGCAACTTTTTAGAAATATTCTACGACCCTATATATCAATAATTGAGAACAAAGATTTAAGCACGAATACTAATAAGGAGAAAATGAAGGCTTGGAGCGATATAACAGAGAAGTAAACATTTTAATAAGTACCTGCATCTCAAAAAAAATGACCACATTATTTAATCAAAACATCAGATTTAATCTAGCAAATATAAGGACAAGAGACAAAAAACAATTGATGAATCAGTGGAAGTGCACTAAATTGAATACAAAAAAAGAGTTGTCATCTTATCGCCGTGAAACATCAAAAACTGGAGGTGGAACAAAGCCACCATCACCTTCTCGAAACAATGGTTTGAAGTAGATTTCAATGAATTTGATTGTGATGGTGTCGAGGTAGGAATGTTAATTATAAATATGATGTATGGTGATGTTCAAGGTTCAACCTTTCAAGCATAGGCATATGCTTACAACATTACTTTATTCCCCTACAGGGTAGTTAGAGATATTGTAATACCTCAAAACATCCATGTTGCACTTGTAGTACCGAAACTCTGTCCTGCCAGAAGTGAGCCCATTCCCACTTATAATGGACAGTGGGTATAATACACCTTAATACCTGAGTGCGAACCACTCACCATGATACTTAAATTAATAGATGTTATTTATATATTTCAGGTTATTACAAATAAAATCATTTTGGAAACAATTGATATCCCAAAAGCAAATAAAGCCAACAATGACAAGGTAATAAATCAGTTTTGACATAACTTGAATACTAAAAAAGCCAAACAAAGGTGTGCACAACAGTGACAACATAACTTAACAATTTCATTATTTTGTAGGATTAAAGAAAGGTTAAAGAAAATCATGTCGAACTGAACAACAAGAATCCCCAAACAACTCCAAAGAAACCTACAAGGAAGACACCGGTATTATATTTAAATTATCTCTATCTCTAAATAGAATAAAAGAAAGTTGCTATCCAGGTCTGTAGCATGTGCTACAAATTATATTATTAACACATTTATATAATTATATTAATATAAATGTGTTAAAAAATTTATAATATGAATTATAAAAAATTTTAAGTTTTGCATGGACAGAGCTTAAATTAATATTCTCTTATTTGTTGCAGAAAGCGAGTAGTTTTGGAGAAGCCTCGTAGATGCACAACCAAGTAATGATTAATTTAAAATTACAAACCGAAATTCTGATGAAGACATTAGAGTCACTTAAAAATAAATAGTATAATGAAATAAAAATGTTTTAAAGATAAATAGTGTTTTATTTGTTTAATGTAAGAGAATAATAATAAATATTTATTTAATTAATTTTTCAAATGTAAACTGAACTTTATTGACTTTAATGACTCCTTTTCCAGTCTTTGATTATTTAATTGTAATTAATTATTTGCATGCAATCAAAAACTATTTTTAATAATGCCAAAGAAGTATAACTTCTTACGCGCGTACATAAGTACACGCACCCTTTTTTTAAGCACGAAATAAACAGGGTCGGGTTTGATAAAATAAACATAAAGGTTTTAAGTCATTTATCATCAATAATTTTGAAAACTACCGACTCAAAGTTTTGCGCTGTCGCTTTTCGTCATCGAATAAACACATCTTGACAGAAAGAGATACAATATTATACTGGTAAAAACTGAAATATAAATTATAGAATATTGGTACATGGTAATAAAACTTATTTCTTTTCAAATTTATTAATTTTTATTATACATATAAAATAAAAAGCTAATAAAGCTACAAAGGAAATCTCTAATATAACTCTGCTTAATGTCTAGTAAAAATATTGTAAAGTCAATTCCATCCCCAAGCGGTCTCTAACATATGGCACGCAATGTGTCACTTGGTAACCTCAATACGAGGCTTACCACAGCATTCTCCGCAATATGTTACATAGACCATTTTATATTCTTAATGCTTTTAGTTATAACCCAGATTCTTGTAGAGATATCAGAAAATGCGAAAATGCAAGAAATCTTGTAAAACTCTTAGAGTAAGCTTCTATCTACTCACAGTGATTTTTATATCGTGTTTGATGTTATATAGTTGGCAGCTTGTAAACCCACATTGAATATATTTAAATGTTTTTGAAATTTACGTTTTGCTAAAACTTCCTAAAAAATACTAGAAATAATGTATCACCGTGACAATTAGGTAAAAATATATACAGTTTGGATATTCAGATGTTTGCTTCAATTTAATGTTTTTTAATTCTAAATAATGATTAAAAATTTCGAGTATAAAACGTGGTAAAAAATATAACTTACCCAGTTCTCACGAAGTTAGCCACATACAATATGAAAGCTTCAGACAAGGCCACTTCAGACTTGGTGTAGTTTTTGGGAAAATGTCCCAGACCGTCGACAAGAGGCGCTCCGAATAGATAAGGCAGCTCTTCGCCGTGCACTGAACCCATTCGCTGAAACGGGATATTCGTTTAGTATATTTTCAAGAATTCTAGTCCAAACTAATTTTGTTAAACTTTACGATATTTCAAAATAAGAATAATATGAATCTGACTACAAACTGAAATTGATTCAAAGTTTTAAGAATTAACATTTTATTATGAATGTAAATGAAATCACTTTTAGAAAAAAAACAGATGTATGTAAATGTTTTTGTACCTATATAATATTATTGTTATATGGATGTATGTGAAAAGTCTTAGTAGTATCATATTTTTATACCTGGGGGTAATCTCCATCCTTAGTCTGATAGTCAAAGACATAGAAAAACGCATTGGGCCCTGAATCTGGCGAACTCTTTGCCACACTAAGGAAGTCCCCAGTTTGCACCAATGGGGCCACATATTGAGCATCGGATAATGCCAACACTGCCGCATCACGTGTATTAATGGGATGCTGTTGAAAAATAATTCGTTAATCTTTAAAAGTTTCATGTGTTACAACTAAAATAAGGTAAGTACTATTTAATTTTTCATTCATTATAATACGTTAACATAATTTGCGAAATTTTTTAATTTACGTATAATGACCGGTATAAAGTGAGTTATCATTTTAAAGCACATTTAATTTAAATCATCAATTATAAGCCGGTATTGATTGAGCAGTGTTGGCCTAGTGGCTTCAGCATGCGACTCTCATCCCTGATGGACTTTGTTTCTATGTTCGCATTTAACATTCGGTCGAACGGTGAAGGAAAACATCGTGACGAAACCGGCTCGCCTTAGACCCAAAAATAGTCGGCGTGCGTCAGGCACATAAGGCTGATTACCTACTTGCGTATTAGATTAACTAATGATCATGAAACAGATACAGAAATCTGAGGCCCAGACCTAAAAAAGGTTGTAGACCCATTGATATCTTTTTTTTAATATCGGGTTTCTTTTATTACACCTATAGCACAGTTTACTAAACACAGTTAAAAAGAAATAGTATAGGAATTATTATGTATCGAAAATAACGTCTTTATGGTCAATTCATTTGTATAGAGGGGTGTTTTTGTATCAGTTCCATTTCCATAATGTACTCGTAGTAATATTTTGTACAAGAACGTGTTTTTGTTGCAAAATTTACCATTTTTAAATATGTTCTTAAAAATAATCTTATAGCCATTTTGCCTAAAATAGGCTACTTTTTTAACCTTGTATATTTAGAATAAACCAGTAAATTGCTTTCAAGGAATCGCTTAATTGTTAGTAAACTGATTCGCATTTCTAAACGTCGTCTGGAGATCTAATGAGCACATACAAATGGGTTTCGTATTTCAATGAGATTGAAAAAGCGTCCAACACTTTCTACTTAATCTTCTTGATTACCACTCAGAAATAATTTGAGCTTTAAAACGTAAGTGAACTCGCATCACTTAGATCTTTAATCAATTCAATTTTGTTATTGGAACCACTTAATGGACTCTGAAATCATTTATTTAACCAACATTACTTATATACTGATATTTTATGCAAACCACGATCACAACCTCCACTATTGAACTGCAAAAAACTTACCAAAACGCATTCGGAAAACATTTCATTAAACATCGAAAAAAGAGAACAAGACAAAATAAGGTAAATAATAACTTAATTTTAATTATATTTTTCACCACACAAATTCATTTATTTCTTAAAGTATTCCATATTTTTTAATAATTCAACAAAATCTTTATTAAACATACAAGTATATTTATTATTTGTGTAACTTAATCTGATCTTATACTATATTTTGCCATAAATGTGATTTGGGCAAAATTACTTTTGTTTCGAGTTTCCTCCTTTAATGTAATGGAATTTGTATCATTCGTGGAATCTTTTCCATCAAATCAATTTTCAATTTGTCGCAGACTCACTGGGTTATCGATTTTCTGTTTATTTCTTTTATAATATGCCAGTATTGCGTGTCACACATTGTAACAATATAAAACCTCTTTACTTAAAAAGTAACTGTATTGCGTTCAAGAATTTGTTTGTAAACGAGTTTAGTAATCATACGAAAGATAACTAAATGATATTGTGTCTAAGAAACTACGCTTAGACATATTTAATATATTTTCTATTACTTAATTTACTTTATATCTCTTTCTTAATATATATAAATTACGTGTCACGTTGTTTGTCTGCTATGGACTCCTAAACTACCGAACCGATATCAATCAAATTTGCACTCCGTGCAGTTGGATCTAACTTAAAAGATAGAATAGCTTACATCTCAATTTATACCCGCAATATTATTTTATTGCAAATATTTGTTTATTATTTGATACAATTCTAACAGATGGCGCTGTGTTAAAAGTACCAACGTTTCACATAAGCTATCTACCTTTCACAAAAGTTTTCCTACCGTTTCCCTTGAATAGTTTACTACTATGTTATATAACAAAAACCTTAGCCACAGCAACGCTTGGCCGGTCTGCTAGTATACTTATAATTCTTACATTACACACTTAAATTGTCATTATAACACAAAACAATTCACCTTTTGTTATTTCTAGGTAAATTTAGGTTACTTTACGACACCATCAATCATTTGAACCACATGTTATTACACCTGTAATAAAATCTCAATTTTCGGCAGGTTGATGTATCTTACCAGTTTGCTTTCGAATCACGTCGCTAAGTAATCGAAAATCGATAGATAACTTTCGGTCAACATTATATATACCTTGATTGCAAAAGATTTATTGAATAAAGATGATTATATAAAATAGGATATATTTATGTTTCTGTGTGATAGATAGTGGTTTTATCATAATAAACATAGTAGTATTAGTTAAAAATAAGTATGTTAATATATTGTAATACTTTATTATGTAGAATTTTTGGTATAACGTATTTATTTATATATACGCGCCTAATAACTACACGATCGTGCGTTCAAATTACGGTTGTGTACGGTACACTTTACCGACTATTGACCTACCGACTTTTCTTACTTTGTGCCCAAATAAGACTAACTAAAACATAAAAAGTTGACAGTATGTATCAGGCACAGAAAGCTGATCAACCACTTGCCTATAAGAAAAAAAATTACAAATCAACTACAGAAATCTGAGATCTAGAGGTTGTAGCGTGACAGTAACTTACTATTAAACGACTAAAATTTCACGTACATCTCTTTTCAAACTAGTAAACTTGTAAGTAAAAAATCACTAACCTGAACAGTTCTTTCCCAATCCGTGTATTCGTTGACTATTGTAAAGAAAATTTCACTCAAGTGATATGTGTAGGCGTTTCTCACGTATGTCCTAAAACAAATGAAACGTTAATAAAAATACTTCAGTGGTACTTACCAAAAATAAGTATTGTTAATACGTGTTTAATAATGTTATATAATATTTTATAAATAAACAAAGTAATATATTTTACTTAGATAACCTGCTGTAATTAAAACTGAAGGAATTCCATTTCCATATACTGCATTACATAAATCCCTGCGGAAGCAAAGGCCGAATCACTGGGGAGGAAAATGTAAAATGCTTTCCTATTCACAACGAAACACGCTAACAAGACGAACAAACAATCTGTTACACAAACATACTCACCGTATTATTCTATCCCGCCTCTCGCCCTCAAAACCATTCTGAATGTCCTGAGCTGAAAATTTCCAGAGTGCCTCGCTCGTTACAACGCCGAATAGCAGATCATATTTATTCTGTCCTCCTCTTATCCCGAAAATTCTATCTCCGCTCCTTTTGTCCGCCTTAAAATTGTTCACTCCTGAAACGCTTGTGAAACCCTGTAGGTCGTTTGGTATGAAAAATGTAAGCAATTCCTTAGCATAGTCCGTTTTAACTACAACCCCGTCGACTGAGGGACCGAAAGCTGTTAGGTAGCTCGGAGTGCTTATTTCGGCAGACATAAGTTCTTGTAAGGGCACTTCTCGGAGACAATCGACGATCAATTCATGGTCCTTTACGATATCCTCTGGTAAGGTGCAGTTTGATTGTTTAGCTAATTGGACCGAATAGTTCACAGGATCTTCCACTAACGCCCAAGAGCTTAAAGCTGAACCTGACAGTAGGATTACTCGGTGAAAGAGACCTAAAACGGAAAAATATCTATGTAAGGCTTAATAACGAATGGTATTTCTTATTTGTAATAAGACAAAAGGATTTATTAGTGTTATGTACTATAAAATAAAATTTATATATACAATAAAAGCAAAACATAAATAATAAGTCAAAGTTAATTAATACAATTTTTACATTAATTGTCACACATTTTAGATGTAAGATTTTGTAAAATAATTAGTAGATTTTGTACTGTGTGTGATGTCGTAAGCTTAATAACTAAATAAATAAAGTTACAAAATATAAGTGGAATTCATTTTCGTGACGGATTCTTCACATAATCCAATAAGTAACAGAATATTCAATCAAAATAGCAAATAACAGTAATATATTATTACATATAAATCATCATATTATTTTATCGCTCAAGTTTTGAGTAGTATACAATATACAAACCTGGCATAACTGTAGGAGATATCATGAGGAAGTTTATACACGCAGCGCCGGATCCATGACCAAGCATGGTAACATTTCCTGGGTCCCCACCGAATAGTGCAATATTCTGCTGCACCCAATGTAAAGCGGCGATTTGGTCCATCAGTCCATAGTTTGCTACTCTTGCTCTTACGTGAGGTATTGGATTTGCGTTTAAGAAACCTAAAAAAATGATTAATATAGAATATATGAACGATGAACGACGCATTGATACGAGTACATGTCATTCATAGAATCGAAGACAAAGTAAAAAAAATGTCCACGAAATGTAAAATTCAGTTTAAATCTTAGCGATGACTCTCCACGACTGGGTAAATATTTGATAAATATGCGTTTGAATCCGTTTAAGAAAGACATATATTATTTTCAATATTAATAGTGGGTAAAATTTAATATACCGATGAAAACTATGCCCAGTTAAGAACATACGGTAATGAAAATTGTAAGATGTTCTTTGGGGAAATGATACCCTACCTTTATCTTTAAAGTAATAAAAACCCGTCTTGAAGCAAAATAAATTACCCACGAGGAAAAATTTCACTTAGGAGATTTTATCGAAACATTTCCTTTTATAAATGGACGAGGCGCATTTAACACGGTAACAAACGATATAGTAAGAAATCTTAGAAGAACGTTGCCAGTTATAGGCTTATTACAAAAAATATTATTTTTGAATAAAAACTCCCAGCAAGTCCAAAGAAAGTATAATTTATTTCAAGAAGTTGTTCTATAAATAAACTATACTTTATTAAAAGATTGCAAAAATATGCCTAAATTCTGCGATTAACGAGATATCAAGCTTTAGCATTGTTTATTTATTAACACTTTGTTGTTTTAGATATTTCGTACATTTAAATAAAATAAATTAAGGAGCCAACGGGCGGCTAATCGCTAAGAAGCGATCTCTTAAATAATAAAATATATAGAATTAAATAAAATGGAATACTAAGGGTAAAGTGCATAACTTGATTTACAAAATAAAATCACAGGTGTAAACTTATAGAATTACAACATTAAAAAAGAAAATACTAAAATTTGATTTTAATAGTCTTGAATCCTAGGTTCAAAATACATAAAATAATATATTTACAATTACAAAAAAATATAAATGTTATAATAATAAAAGTCACGATTAAATATATGGATATGATATAGTGTAGTTACTAGTAAAGAGGTATTTAAATAGAATACTCTTAAAAGATTCCTTTCTTAACTTTAAATAACATTGTTTATAATATTTTTATAGATAAGATTATATCGTTTACTTCACATCTTATCTTTTTACACTACTCTGTGTTATTCTTAGCTCTCTTTTACTACTGATTGCCTGAAAGAGATACACTGTTTTATGTTTTATTGTATTGTAAATAAATATGCAGAAAACCCTCGTTTCAGAATAAATTTGAAGGTTTGTTACCTTCACAATTTAATCTCCCTTATAGGGCTCCATGAATTCCTACATTTATGTATATCTGTATATTTGAAGCGTCTTAGATAGTAGAAAAATTAAAGGAAATAAAGTTTGAATATTCTTGAGCGTTCAATATAATTATGCAAGTTCTTCCACGATGGCTTCGTCACGTTTCACTTTGCTTAATTAAACATTTCTTGTAGTAACTTTAATGTTAATACACGTCATTCCAATGTGAACTATATGACGTAAAACATACGACACACTTTCGTATGGATTTACTGAAGTAATTTAAATTTTAATGAATTCATTATCGCGACATTTTCATGTATGTATGGCTTTGAGCGGAGTGCTTGGAGTAACTACAAAACGCGACAGTGCCTGAACTTAAAATATATTGCAATGAAAATATATAGCACGCTTCAACGTTGAATTTTAATGTACTGTGTATACGATAAGAGATAAAACAGGTGAAACGTATGAAAACTATTGTTTATTAACTTCGAACCTTTTAGTAGTAGATAAATTAAAAGCAAAGCTGACTTACTTGACAATTTCAATCGAACAAAGCCGAAAATGGCTACTTCCTATATAAAATTAAATGTTAAATTAACTGTTTAAGATTGACTTAATTTTAATTAATTATATTCATACAATAAATAAATGCAATGGCAAAAAAATAGTTTATTAAAATAACATAATAATTCGTTAAATTTAGCGCAATGCGGAAACGAAATTAATTACATTAGGACAAAATTAGGTCCCGTCGACTACTAATTACTTTATCTAATTAATCTTCCGTTAATTCAGAGCAAATTGATTAATCACTCTAGTTGGTATAAAATCAAGGTTGCCATTTTTGTGTACATTTTATTGTGTAATCTGTAATATATACTACTAGAGTCTGGCTAATGAAAGAAGATAGAAGAAGAAGAAGAAGAATTATTTAAAAACTTTCGGATGGCAACACAGAATGTCATTGAATTTCTTAGGTTAGTATGATTTATTGTCTTGATACTTCATGCAATTACTCATTTTTATTTCTATTATATATATTTTCTAAATAGTTAACAGGTATAATAGCCTGAACTTTATTTTATTGATTTTTCGGATTCTGATTTTGATTATTCCGAATAAAGTTGTGTTTTATAATAAATATAGTTTTAGTTTTCCATGCAATGCTAGTCAGTTTAAGTATCAATAGTAAAATACTAAATACGTATAGTATTTAATTTCATAGAAATTCAGCTGTTACTATCAATGTAAAAAATAATAAAATCAAGTATCAAGTAAGTTTAATCCACAAAATATATCAAGCTTTTAGGGATATCATACTAAATTTTTTTGAATTTGCCGCGCTGTTTCGTTATCTTCTTTCATTAGTCAGACTCTAATAGTAGTTCTTCATTTAAAAAGCAGTTACAGTTTTAGTATATAGACAATCTTATCCCAAGTTTATTATAATCTATAATATCATGGAAAAATTAATTCATTAAAAATAATGTTTTTCAACATACGTGATTAGCGAGAGACTTCTACAACTTCATTTATAACAAGTTGTAATTATTATTTAAATTCCATTGAAATATTGCCATAATATTAACGCCAACTATTACTGCGCGGTTTGTGTTTTCTATGTTATGGCATCAATGATACTCTTTAAATAGTAGATTTCAAAATTTAGAAGTTGTTAATTGATAAGTATCTTTTATATTCCCTAACCGTACCCGTAATAAAATAAAAAAGTGGCGCTACAATCCTTGGTCTTGTCCTCAGATTTTAGCATCTCTTTCGTGACCATTTGCTTTTTCTAATAGGCAAGTAAAAAAAGCCTCATCCTTCTGTGCCCTTGGTCTTCCTTAATGGGCAAGTAAGTCTAACACACACTTATTATGTCTATATTTTTCCTTTACTATGTGAGCGAGTGTGAATTTTGACAACTAACTTTTCTTTTGACTTATAACTGGACTCGTGGTATTACCATATTAGCGCGTACCAAACAAACACTCTTCATTGAAATAGAATTACTTTAACGGTTATAAACGCAAATTTATTAAATTACATACTTGTCGTTTCCGGTTATTATGCAGCAACCGTTACGGCGGCAAGACGTTGAAGTACTTAATCCCAAGATTTTTTAAAGAGTTACAGGACACGTTACATAACAGCTATATAAAGGGCGAGTACCAAATTTAAACAAAAATTAATTCACTAAATATAATGCTTTTCAACAACCGTGATTAGCGAGAGACTTCTACAACTTTATTTATAACTACTTGTAATTTTTATTTAAAGTCCATTGAAATGTTATCATAAAATTAACGCCACCTATTGTTGCGAGGTTTGTATTTTCTATAATATGGCATCAATTTCGGCAGGATTTTCTCAAAAATATCAATCCTTATTGCGATTAAATAGCAGTTTTTCTTTAAAATAGTAGAATATATACATACCTAATATACCCAGCCGGTAATTTATAGTGATAACAACAAGGCCCGCGTAACTCGCAAGTACGGAGCCATCGTACACGTTACCGGAGTTCCACTCAAAAGCCTCGCCATGTATGAAAATCACCACGGGATACTTCGCAAGTAACGTCGGACCAACTGAAACAAAGGCTTCGTTAGTTCGATAAGTCTTTATGCAGCATGAAATTTGTAGCATACAGGCTGTAACTAAAACAGAATGAACTCTATTATCGCGTAAATAGTAAACGTTTAGTTGCAAACGCGATCAATAGTAGTAGTCAATTAAAAGACCGGCAACGCACACGCGAGCCGTCTGGCATTGAAAGTGTCCATAGGCGGCAGGATCACTTAACATCCGGGGAGCCTTCTACCTGTTTGCTCCCTGTTCTATAAAAAATATAGTAAAAAATATCCAATAAATATATGAAACTGCATTTCAAAAAAAACTCTAAAAATAATTACGAATCGACGTCAAATTATATAGTTGTTAATTGTGACAAGTGCATTTTGATTCGCTAAAATACATTATTTATTAATATTACCTGTTGCAAAAATAAGAAGATAAATAGTATAACATATATATTCACTAAGGATTCACCCCAGGTTATAAGTTATCCATAAAGATTCAATTGATAAAATGAGGTCAGGTTATACTTTAGCAAGTCATTCATTTTCAGATAAAATCTAGGTTTAAATAAAATATATCGGAGACATTTATGGTATACTGCTTTTAAGAGTTAGTACCATAGTACGTATTGAATGAATTGATATATTGAATGAATTGATATTTTGACAGAATTCAACATTTTCAATCAAAAGAATTATAATTTATCAGATTATTGTGTTATGTACAGGTGAGCTTTCTTGACTAAAACTGTTCTGGTAAATAATCGGCCACACACACGCCACCATAATAATAGGCAATATTGTGCACCAAAACATGTATTGAGAATTAAAAAATAACTTAATAAATGTGTGTGCGAACTCATTGGTTACAAGGGTGCGATGAACGCGCTCTACCCCCTACTCTACGGCAACATACCTCTTCGAACCAAGCTCGCGCTGTACAAATTATATGTGCGCCCACACCTGACGTACGCGGCACCGGCATGGTACTCATACACAAAGGAGACCCACCGCCAGAGACTGCGCGCCGTACAGAACATCAGTCTACGACGCGCAGTGGGGGCCCCCCGCTACGTCAGGAACACCACCATAGCGCGAGACTTGAGGATGGAGTCAATCGACGAGTTCGTCGCACGGCTCGCCAAGGGGATGTTCGATCGAGCGGACGCCTCTCAACATCCCCACCTCAAGGACATCGCGCCGTGGCACTCCAGGCCACCAGACAAATACAGGTATCCGCGTGAGCTATTCTCCGCGGATACCCCAACCACCGGACGTGACACCAGGGCAGCAACCGCGGCTACGACCGCTGGTCGCCTCGCTGGGCCTCCCCCGGGGCCACCGGGGGTCTCACCCGGCGGAGCTTGACCGCGAGCCGCGTAGCTGCCCGATACCAATCATTGAGACACCAGGGCCAAGTCGAGAATACTCCTTGGCCCCAAACCACCGGACCTGACACCCCGGAATAGACCCCATCGGCTGCGCGCAGCGAGTTGAGGCCAACGCCTCCTTGCGCGCTGCAGCCCCCACCAAGAGGAGAAACCTCGACCCCGTACCGCCCTGTATTAGCAGGGCGCGAGAAATCAGTCCACCCGAAGGGGGCATAGCCCCGAACGGGTTTAAACACACCCCTCTAGAGGGAGTGTGTAACAAAAGCAGAACGGTGGTTACAATTTTGAAAAAAATTATATATATAATGAATATATATTTATATATCTTAATATTATATATAAATTACGTGTCACGTTGTTTGTCCGCTATGGACTCCTAAACTACGGAACCGATATCAATCAAATTTGCACACCGTGTGCAATTTGATCTAACTTAAAAGATAGGATAGCTTACATCTCAATTTATACCCGCAATATTATTTTATTATATATATATATAATATTTGTTTATTATTTGATACAATCCTAACAGATGGCGCTGTGATAAAAGTACCAACGTTTCACATAAGCTATCTACCTTTCACATAAGTTCTCCTATCGTTTCCCTTGAATATTTTACTACTATGTAATATAACAAAAACCCTAGCCACAGCAACGCTTGGCTGGTCTGCTAGTAATAATATATTAATAAATTAATCAATTATTATTATTATATATATTATACACTGTCTAATATTATAATTGTATAATGCATAGATTTATTGACATCTGGCGAAGCCTTAATTATTAGAGGTAACAAAATTTACGCGAAAAAACTTTATTTATATAAGAATCAATCAAACTCTTTTAATTTGAAGAGAAAACGTTAATAAACGAATCGTTAATAACGTTATTATATAATTCGATGTTATTTTTTTATTATATAATTTAGTCAAATGTTCTATTTAAACATGTAATATTAGTGATTAATACGTTTAACAACGTTCGCTCAGTATCACTTCATTTATTATTCATGAGATTATTTTAAACGACTGTTAAATTACGGTTTTGCATACATTAGGCTGACTGACAAACTGGAGGAAAATGTATGAGGCCTACGTTCATTAATAGACCAAATATAGAGCTATAATTAGCTGATGATGAAAGTGTACTTTAAAAGATCTTAGTATTTGACTAATACTAAAATTCATCTTGCATACCGTTGTGCATTATTAATCCGACATTAGAATGTTTAAATAAAAAGTAAAGTAAAAAATATCTCTATGCAACACCAGCAAATACTAAACGCAATATGACTATTGATTTGTGCTTTTGTAATTTGAAACTTCCTAAAACTACTCCTGATTGCACTCCGTATTTGGATAATTATTACAAAATTACTTTTCAATAATTTCTTAGTAATGCTCATAGATTCATAGTTATGCTTGTTACACTAGTGATTATGTGTAAAATAATAATTGCAAGATAATCGACAAAAGTGTAACCCAATTTCTAATCATGTCTGTAAATCAATCTCTCTCAAATCTCAATTATTCTACTTACATAACTAAAATTTATTAGTCGATAGACGTCGCGTCGACTTTTTATCACTTCATGATAATTTGTGATTGAAATTGACAAAACAGACCACTCTATTTAATTAACTAAAATAAATCAGTGCCGCTACAACCTCTTTAGGTCTTGGCCTCAGATTTCTGAATCCGTTTCATGATCATTTTAAAATCTAATAGGCAAGTAGGTGATCTGACACACGCCGTCGAGTTTTTGGGTCTAATACATGTCGGTTTCCTCACATTGTTTTCCTTCACCGTTCGAGCAAATGTTAAATGCGCACATAGAAAAAAAGTCCATTGGTGCACAGCCGGGGATCGAACCTACGACCTAAGGTATGAGAGTCGCACGCTGAAGCCACTAGGCCAATAATATAATATTTAATTAACTACTAAGTAAAAAACAAAAGAGGGTTAGTGTATGGTATGGTAAGGAACGATGATGTTCCTGATTATAAATGAAATAAAATAAATTTTGATATAAATAAATCAAAGACTATCTATTCCTAACACAGAAACAATAGTCACGCAATTGATATTAAATATAATTATCCCCAATATACGATAATCCAAACGTTCATTTCCAAAGCTTTAATTTGAAATTAATTATAATGATTATGAAACCCGAACATTTGTTTTGTTACCACAAATATCTTCCAATTTCAAATACAAAACTTTGTTCTCAATTGCGGTGAACAATATATCAAATCAAGCGTTTGAAATACGCTTCTATTTCGATGATAGCTTTCGGCACCGGAATATTTGGCAATAAAAAACTTTAGCCGATACGATAGATTATGTACATTCACTTTGGTATTTGAATAACGGCAGTCAATATTTGACGAAAACGTTTCGAATTTTTTCAATATTATTGATTTTTGTTCTAAAAGGCAGTACGCCCGTTAGAACCGAATTTAAATTCTGAAATTGTTTTAAAACATTTGGGTTGTATTGATCTATATTGTTTTAATAATGTGCGAAATTAATTTTCATATTACGACATTTGAAAATATATTATAAGAAATAGGCTTTTAAATTGAAATGGATAATAATTAACCACTCGTTCATGAACGTATCTGTCAAATTGTGTTTACGCTGTAATGAAAGGAAGCAGATGAATAGTTTTAACTATGGTTAAAACGGTACAATTAGACTTATATATTTTTTTATTTAGTGCATTTTAGATTTCATTTATGTACGTACTTGTGATAAAAGGTAACATATCTTCAATAGACAGCTAATTAAAGTTTTAATTATTCCAGAAAATCAACATGAGAAATATAAAAAGTCGTCGTAGTGACTGGCTTTTGGCCCACTTGGAATATCTTCAAGCAAAACAAACACAGTGGAGTAGCTATTACTTAAAATGTTTGAATTTAACCTACTTTCGCATTCACTTAGCTTTACGATTCGGAAAATGATACGAACTATTCTTATGCGACTTTTGTGCATTGTGTGATAGGTTTTCGTTTTATTGTCACTGTTTAAGCGGGGATTTCGCGTTCGTAATGGAAAAGGCTTTGTATTTTTGTAATTTTTACGTAGTTTTCTTTTTTGAATGCTGGATTTTTAATGTATTGTGTATATCATAGAATTTAGAACTATTGTAAGTACGTAACAAAATAAACTAAATAACTGGTGTATGTTACATTAAAAATAATCATTCCAATAATAGATAAAAGATTAAAATAAACAAATATTATATAATAATTGTTCGTTATGAAGGGTTATTAAAATAATGATTACAACATTGCCTTGTAATTGTGTAATTTCTTTTAGACTACCAAGCAAATTATATGGTACAAAAAAAGTTAAATTAATTAATATGAAATTATTTTAGGCACTAACGGCCACTTCAACATCGACAGCTGAAACAGCATTTCTATTATTTTTCCATAGTTTGGCATAGTCAATACTTTGCAAATAGGTCAATGGTACAATTCATAGTGAAAAATTGTTATAAACACGTCATATTTTTTTAAATTACATCTAATACGATGCACAAGTACTTATGCTTTTCATTATGAAAATGCTACGCCGCTTCAATATCGAACTTTCACATACAAAGCTCTATAAAAATAAAGATGTAGGTAAAGGATATTTCCTAAGAGCGCCCCCATTATGAAGAT